ATTAATTTTCTGGCATAATTCAAAGTAAAGTAACATATATTTATCTTCATAGTTGCCCAGGAAAGGCATCAACACCTGCCTTTCAGTAAACAAAGGAATTGCCAAGCAACACATCTAAATAAACTTTGCAAAAATGCACTGCGTCATTCTAAATATTCTTTTGTTTTTTTCATGATTATCCGGTTTGTGGTGTTCAGAAGGTTTCAGTTACAGTCTCTTTTAGTAATATTTTATAGAGAAGCAGTTCTTAAAAGGGGATTTCACAATGAGGCCTTATGTTACATTGGTTTCACAAAGATAATCTGCAAGACTGATTGGTTTTTCTACAGATGCTTTGATGAACGTGATTAGATTCTATAGATCCGAACAGAAAACATCCGTTTTACTTATAAAGGACTTAAGTTAGTAACCATAGAGACAAAGAAGGCTGAACTTCTGTTGTGTGGGAGTAAGCAGGAGAGGCCACAGTCACGGTGGTGGAGGAGGAGCTCAGACAGATGTGAATAACGGTGCAGACATTCAGCTCCTTATTTGGTTTTCTGGGCGGGGAGGTGCTCTTTGGGGCAACTGGTAGTTTCAGCCAGAGGGCTGAGGAGCTACAATCTGCATCTCTCTACCTCTGCAGCCTCTGGAGAACAGAGATCAGCATCAGAAAAAGAGGGAGAAAGGTAAGAAAAGTCTAGATTAAGAGGAAAATGCAGGCATTTATGTATAAACTGATAGTAAAACCACAGAAAGGATAGAATATGCCAGTTACAGTTTATTTTGAAAGGATTTATAACAATGGAAATATGTTCTGCATGTTGTAGAAAATAATAGTTACAGGTTTGCAACAGGTTTAGATTTAAAAAGAGTTGAAAACAGAGAATAGCTTGCCTCATTTTTACATTTTGAGAATACTTCATTGCTCTAAGAGCTTTAACTTCACTTATATTTGTTACGGATAACTGTCCCTGTAATGAGGAAGAATGTTGCAGAGAGGGATGTTTGAGCGTGCAGCATGGGAGAAGGGTGTGGCAGCCTTTAAGGCACCAAAGGGTTGATTTTTAGCTGAACATATGCGGTCTGAGCAATAGAAGGATGGGCTGTAAACTAAATCATTTGGTCTTACAGCTGGGAAAGAAAACACATCAAAAATAGAACTGCTCTGGATGATGGAAATTCAATAAATAAAGTTCCTTTTTTGACCACTTTGATTTTTACTTTAATACTTAATGCACTGATGTAGACTGATATATTTTAGCTCACCCAGTAGTTTGGTTTATTAGAAACTCTTTTTGTTTCTTGTCAAGCTTCTCTATGTTTTTCGTATCTATGACTCCTATGGTTCTTTACATTATTGCAACTTCAAGTAGATTTCCTTCCATTTTTCTAAAGGGATTTTTGCTTTACATTTAGTCACTTCTAAAAATCATTCATGAAGTCTAAATTTCAATGTTGTATTAACTCCAACTATCTATACTCCTTTAAAAGACTCAGAGATGTTGTAACAACCAGGAAGGTCTGCTATAGAAAAAAAATCAAAAACACTCCAAAATGTTGTTTATTTTCTACTTCAATACATTTACAGGCACTTCATAACAACTTTACCCAGGATTAAAAATGTGTACGCATCAGGAAATTGAGATTTTCTTATAGCATTAAAACAGATAAATTAAAACAGTTTGCTTGAAATTCCAACTAAGCAAAAAAATATCTACCTCTTATTAAACTAAGATATGCAAAAAGGTTATTTATGGGGAAATAGAATTATTTCATGAATAGTAAAAACATTCAATATTATTTGTAAAAAATCAATGCTTATACAAAATATTCGACTTCAGAATAAATATATATATATATATATATATATATATATATACCATATAATTATGTGGTTCTTTCTTTAATTGGTACTTTAAAAGGAAACACAAGGGGCTTCAACCTCTCATTGTAAAGAAGGAAAAAATATTCTAAATTTAGACAGATGGGCTTTTTTATTTTTTACTGTTTGCTTTTTTAAGTAGGCAGCTGTCGCAATTTACAGTGGAGCATACCAAACCTGGGGGGTCCAAGCTCAGGAAAGCTTCATTTAGCTATACATAGGGCAGGAACTTTCTTGTTCCTTTCAGAATCAGAATCAGACATACTTTAATAATCCCAGAGGGTAATTACTTTTGTTACATGCCCCAGATATACACACATTTTTATATACATACAATATACATATGTATAACTATAGATATATTTCAGACTAACAGATAACATATTATTCTAAGGCTCATTTCTATTTGTGGGATTTATGTTTTGACATGAGCTCCATATGTTGACCACATTTTCCGACTTAAACACAGCAGCTGTGAATGCCTTGAACATGTAGTCTGGTGTTTTTGTAGAATAAAATGAGTAAACAGTTTTTCAGTGTGTTGGTTTGGTTGTTGCTCTAACTCTGCGCGCTCAGGAGACAGGGCGTGGCAGGCTGCACACCACCTTAAATGTCAGTGAATGAACTCTATTGCTGCCTGAAACAGATCCACATTATGGAGAAACTCTCACTTCCTCTTTTTTTTTTTTACATATTCTGTGACTCTGGCTGTGTTTTCTTATCCATAAATTGGTTCAGGCTCTCCTCTTTGCTTTTTCATGTGCAGTTTTTCAGTTTTACGCTAATAATCCAACTTTCTGTCCCATGACAGCCTCAGCCCCTGTTTTTTTTTTTTTTTGGATGATTCCATTTTGTTCTTTTTAATTCTCAAACCTTTGCATACCGGCTCTGACTCACAGTCACTGCGATGATTTGCCAATAGAGCTGGTCTTGTGTTTCGATCCACCCAGCATTTGCTCTAACTGGATTAGGGGTCAAATTGAATAAGTGATGTTGTGTCATGACAATGAACCAAACAAGCACGCCTGACCTCTCTGGCTTGGAAAAAGGCTTGTTTCCTGAAACTTCCTTCTCGGCCTCTGCTCTGTCTGCTGTCACGTCCTGTTTAAAAGCATCTACTTATTTTCAGCACCGGGGAGGTGCTCTTGTTGGTGTCACGTTTTCCATGCTGTGCTGCAAAAAAAAACGATGCTTTTTCCACACTTAATTTTCTCCAATATGTCATTTTCCTATCATTTTTTTTTTTTCCTGACCTGATTCCGTAGGCGGGAAATCATTGGTGGTGATGGCAGGAATGGGGGTGTGTTTTTCCAAATTGAACCCTTGTATATGTTTCGAATGGTTTACATGAGCTGGTAGCCACAGCTATAAAGCTGAAGGGGAGTTTAGAACACAGAGGGGAGGGGAAGAAAGTGGAGCCCTGATGGAAACCATGAGGGAGCAGCTACTAAATAACAGGGAAGGAGCACACAATGTGGAGGGGAAAGCTTGGCAGATATGACAAAGTGCCCAGTTGTTCAGACAGCAGCAACATCTGGATCACATCAGCAAGTTGGAAAATCTTACAAGAAATCCTGGAGGAGGTGCAAAGAGCAAGGAGGAGTGGTGAAAGGAACTAGGACCACCGGTGACTCACTGCGCAGATATTTCATCCATCACTGTGTTTACACTATGAGTCTTTCTGTGGCCGAGGGACAGGGCTTTCCCCATCTCCCTCACTCCTCCACATTCTCTCACACCTCCCTGGTTACCTTACCAGAGTTTTAGAAGATCCAGCTTTGCATTCTTTGCCCTTTTTTTGTAGTTTTCTTTATTTAACAGCAGTTCTGCTTTCTAAATGTGCAGCCGTAAATCCTCCATAGGTGTTTATTAGTCCCTAACATAAACAGAGCTCATCTCCTTGTTTATAAATGTCACTCTGTATAGACTGGGAACTAGGAATGTGCCGCCAGTGGAGCCAAATGGGCCTTGGGTGTCACTAAGGGGGGGTGGGAGCGAGCGTAGCCAGTACAGCATATCAGCCTGCCGTTGAACTGTAAAAATTTCCATTAATTTGAAAAACACTCAGATCGCTAAGGTTAGCCACTAGGTTATCTGGGAGGAGTGGCCTGGTGGTCAGAGAGCTGGGTGTTTGTGCCAGGTCCCTAGGCTAAACAGGACCCTTGACTCCAGATTTTGTTAGTTACCGTGGCAACAAACTGCTCCCTAAGGGATGAGTTTAAAGTTTATATTGAGTTTGAATTCCCCTTCTTTGTTTTCATTGAATTTTAAACTCGCCAGCAGCTTCATTTTTCTGTGTACCCTCTTTTAGCTGAAAATAAATCAATATTAGAGGACTAAACAACAAATCAGAACTGTTTAATTCCTTGTTAATACAGCTAACCAAACGCAGGAAAACAATTCAAAGCATAGATGTCTCAGATCTTAATAAAAAGAAGGAAAATAAGCTGAGACTTTTTTTGTCACCGTGTTAAATAGCAGAGCTCAGTCTTAGAGCACAGCACTTTCCTATAAGACTGAAAATAATTGTTTTCTACTTTCGGCTACTTTAGATCGCCAATTTAATGTAATATAACAGTAAATATAGTAGGTATTAATATGCTGAGACTCCAAAAGAGATGTAATCCTTAAAATACAGGTGCATTACAGTTTGTCCGAGTGGTGTTGCCATATATTATAAAACATCATAACAAGGGGCTAGGCCCCCGAGCAGATCTGGTACCTACACTGGTACCTACAGCGGTTATAGACAGAATATATCAGGGGGGTAAGGATGGGCAAGTGTTTTTTCTTTTTATGGGGCACAGATAAAAAGTCAAGTTCTCAGACTCCTTAACTAGCAGATGAAAACTGAGACCCTTATTAAAAGCACTTATTCAAAAATTCTATTCAATTCAAAACTACTTAATCAATCCCAAAGTGAGATGAAATGTTGCAGGAACTCATGGTCAGTGTTTCAGTGAGATTGTAGGTAGTGATAAGAGTGAGCAGGAAGGATCTTTATTTATTTTTGTCTTTATTTGCTTTGATCATGCTTTTATTTTTCTTAGATTTTTACTTATCATCTAATTAATATAAAACACTTTGAATTGTCTATGTACTGAATTGTGCTATACGAATAAACCAGCCTTGCCTTCTGTAGAGGTCTGTCTTGCACAAGCTCTGGAGAAGCCTCTGACTGAAGACACTCTGTTGGTGTTTAACAGTCTGAGGAAGAGGATGCTCATGGTTGTCCATAATCCTATTCACTTTATGAAGAGCTCTTTTTTTTGTGAAATCATCTGCAGAGGTTCTAGAGCAGTTCCTGAAACAGAGCCGATCTTCTTCATTAGCTGTTAAAGTAAATTCTAAAGGCAAAATATTAAATCGGTCCTATAGGGATGAATCAGTTATGGTCTCTTCTTTTGGCTTATATCATCCTAAGTATTAAACTGCAAAAGCTGATCTAAATAAGTGAAGATTTCCTCAAATAATTTGCTCTTAATTTTAGCTGGTAAAAAAGATGATCAGCAAAATTAAAGAATAATTCTGCTTTTATAGTAAGATTATTAGATATAACACTGGAAATTTTCTATTTTAAACGTATTATTATTATTATTAGGTTAGAAAATTGTCTTACCTAATTGCATATCTGCTAAAATCAAGGGAAATTGCACTTTATTAAAGAAAATGGACTTACTTAGATCTAAATTAAATTTTGCAGCGTATGTTTTCAGTATAGGCGGCATAAATTGGGGGAGTGGTGGCCTAGTGGTTAGGGCATTGCGCTAGGAATCTAGAGGTTCTGAGCCTAAGCCCCACTCCCACAGACTGACACTCTGGGTCCCTGAGCAAAGAACAGTAACCCCACACTGCTCCCCGAATGCCGCACAAAGGCAGCCCACTGCTACCCAAGGGGATGTGTTAAGATGCAGAGATTTAATTTCTTTGCTCTGTACTTGTGACAGTGTAATGAGAATAAAAGGTGGGAAAAAAATAAGTAACAGGGGTTACAACCTGTTCTAGAGGGGCATTGAGCCTGTCTAGAACCGTCCATGTCAGGGTGGTTGAAGAGGACTTGCTGGAGCTCAAATGTAGCCTCAGATTAACAAAAAAAAAAACAGTATTTAGGTGACTTTGAACCTGGCTAAGCAATTTTTCCAGGCGAGCTGGAAGGACTATTTTAGAAAATGCTGATTCTTTGGGCATTTCCCTCACAATCAGCTCTCTGGTTAACAGAGAATGGTCCATAAATGAGGATCCAGTCAACGAGTAACGTTTATGGGCTCAGAATTGGCTTGATGATGTCATTGTTAGACAAAGATTTGCATATGGGTTTGAAATGAAAGGTAAAACTCAAATAAGGGGTTCCTGGTATATCTGGAATACCATATACAGTGGGTGTGGTTAGCATAGAAAACTAAAGCTACAGTTTAAACATGAGAAAAACATTTGCCATGTCAAACAAATTTGGATTTTCCCATCAACACTGAGATGTTGGGGTCTGAATCTAATTTAGCACGCTGATATATTCTTGGCATTTCTATGCATTTTAACCATTTTCTTAATGGATAGTGATCCATTAAGGATCACAGTGGATCTATCTGCTAAAGGCTACTTCTAACAGAATAACCAAATATTTATAGGAAACCTCTAACAATTTTAACTGACTTCTTAAATGTGAAAATGAACCACTGGCTTTAAAAGTGACCAGTACTAAGTCTAATTGAGATCTGTCAGGATGTGGTAGAAAAGGAGATTCACACCTCATGGGTGTGTTGCTGAAAAATCTGCAAAAGCTGCCAAACATGATCATATCAGTATGGAACAACTTACTGGATAAGCATTTAATTTCAAGTACCTTTAAAATACCTTTAAAAAGTTATTTTCTGCAGGTCGCTCCTCAGTATGGAGCCATTCATACTTTCTATTCATTTAATTCAAAATTTAATAAATAGAAAACACTGCTATTGAACAACAGCACTTTCCTAAATCCTGAAAATTAAAAATAAAGTATTTAATTCACAAACATGACCTAAAGTAATTAATGAGTACATCAATCTTTAAATGAAGTATCATTTTTCTAAGTGTGATAGTTAGATTTTGAAAGTTTTACTGTAAAAACAGCTCTCAGTAAAAAAATGCTTCTCCCAATGTTTGATGGGTGGCATTTTTGTAACTTTGTGTTTGTTTTTGTGCCGTTTGGGGCGATATGAAAGCAAAATCGGACGTTTCTCTATGTCTGAAGGTGTTTTTGAATAAAAAAGGTAATCGCTGTCTCAACAGGTTATCCAACTGAGAGAAGAGCCACTTTACCCTGAGTTCAGCAAAGTGAAATTGGTTTAGAGCCACAGATCTTACATAACCTTTTAACAAAACACAATGTAATATTTTTGTTAAATATATTTTTATACCTTTTAAAATGAATAAGGAGAAACCGAAAATGTTCCATAAAGGTGAAGCATGGATTTTCTTCTATAGGATATTTTTTATGTAAAAAGTTGACAAGAAGGAAAATATCTGTGAAAAAAACTCTAATTCTTTAATGTCATTTTCTTATGAAAATTCAATTAAACTATATATCATACACCCCACTAAAGCCACCAACAGTGGTATTTTTTTATTATACTGTTTAAATTGGTTCTTTATGTCATCCTAAGCCCCTATAGAGCCACTTTAGACTGCTATAGAGCCACAGGCTGTGTCCAAATGTCCACCCTGACCACTATATATGGCACTATACAGCAGTTACGCTATTTTAGATGAGTGTCTGAACGTCTAGTGGATGGAAAAGTAGTGGACTCAAAAAAATCCCACAATGCACCTTGAAAAGTAGTGATCATACATGGTCAATAAGTGAACAGATATATCCCAGAATGCTTTGTGAGGAAAGCTCTCACATCATGGGATTTGTTGTGGCGACAAAAAATAACAAAGATGACTCTGGCACTGTGTGGGGAGGCGGAGTCACGTGACCAGCGGGGAGCGAAAAAGAGTGATCATCAATCCCAACGGTCTGTGTACTGATTTCACTTCACTATAAAGTCCATTAAATAGTTGCCACTCTGTAGAGTGATTGAGGGATTTAGGGATTAGGGCAGACATTCAGACACACCCACAGGTTGCAGACCCCAGCCCCATAACCTATTAAATCTATTAAAAAGTCTTTTCCCAACCTATAGAGGATTGGTTAACCTCTTCAGATATGGCTGTGTGAGATTTCATTCCAACTTTGTTTTTGTTTAATTATTAAGCAAAACTACTAATCATAAATGTAAGTCTGCCATTCTGAAGCAGCATTTGTTGTAAGGATTAGTTGATACGTGTTGAGGACCCAAATGCAGAGCTGAAGAGGTAGAGATTATTTCTTTCCAAATTCAATAAATAAGTAAAGATACAGGAGCTACCATCCAGAACTGGTCAACAAGTAACTAAGGAGGAATAAACCAAAGGAATGACGAGAATCCAGCAAACATTGGCTGCAGAGGAGGAGTATTTATGCCAAAGAGAACAAAGAATGGTGTAATTGACTGATTGGGAGCAGGAGTGGACAGAAGCAACTAGAAGGGAGCTAGGGAAAAGAATACTGGCACAATGGGCAACAGAGAAACCATGAAATATAACAGGGCTTAAATATAACTAGAAAATAACACGGATGACACTAAATGGAAAAAGAAACTGATGACCTAAAAACCTTAGAATAACATAAATCAAAGTATAACTGAAAACTTAAAAAGAAAACTTAAACAGAAGCAAAAAGTCCAGAAAGGGCAAAATAATGACAAGTGTTTTACATAATTGTGTTGATTTGCTCTCAATCATTATCAGTAATTCATTTAATTGTTGATTCTTTCAGCTTTTTAAAAAATATTTCCTATAATACTTGGCCCCAGTGACGTCTTGGAGTTAATTATACAAGAAAATCCAAATTCCTAAGAAATCTACTAAAAATTTCCTGATTCTTGTTGTGGCAGGAATTGTTTAATAGAAAGTAAGAGCAGTGTGAATTACTGCTGTAATAAAATATGGTATTTTTTTGACTTTTTTGCAGTTTTTGTGAGGTTTTTTTAAATAATAATCAATAATTTATTTTCACATCTGTTATGTGTTCAAGGGAAGAACATTTGGCTCACTGGAAACTGAGACAGTTTCCTCGCAATGGCAGCAACAATAAGAATCATAAAGAGGCTAAAGGTTTACAACTTGGATTTTTTTCTCATGAATCTTGGAAACGGTGAAAGGATATTATCTAGAGTTTCTACCTTTTAAAGCTATACTTAAATAGCTGCTTGATGAATATTTCTGGGACCTCATCTGTTGTTTTACAATCCAGTTTGGAATCCAGACCCCAGTTTCTATGACCTTTGAACTAAAACCATGGCTTCAGTACATTATTTTATCAGACAATTACCCCAAAGGAGTTTTGAACTATTCATGCAGTTTTTATTGGCGCTGAGGTTCAGATTTCAGAGTGCTCTGGTTCCTTAAGAACAGGAGGGGGAAACACGACAAAGGCCGTTCACTTAGGCTGTTGGTGAAAGTTATGGCACAATTTCCATTACTGAGGGCAAGAGCATGGAGGCTGGTCGTGAAGGAATGCCTCAGTGTATTTTCCAGGAATGCCTTTAAGGTTGCAGTTCATTGAGCACCTAAAGGTAGAAGTTTTCTGCGGCTGATTTAACCAGACGTAATTGTGCTGTGACCAGTGCAATCACAGTGCAGCCTTTATTTGGGGTTTTGAACTGAGGTTTTGTGCCTGACTTGCCATGTCTGCTGTACATGAAAACAACAAGAACCTTGTGTGTTTTGGACAAGTGTGTATAGGGGAGATGGAGAGAGCTATTACCTTTGGTCTCACGTGGTTTAATCATGTGCTTTGGGAAGTCGTTGCAGTTTATCAGACATCTAAAATACATTTTTCTGTCTTTTAATCCTACAGGTTACCCTGTTTAAGGCTGCCGGTGAAATTCTAAGAGAGAAAGAAAGAAAGAAGAAAGAACATTTACCAAGTTCCAGCAGATTTCATCATGCCTGTTGTCCTGAAGACCAGCCCTCTGCTTTGGACACGGTTGGCTGCCCTGGCCTTCTCATGTGTGGCCTTCTCTATAGCCGTGCATGGGGGAAATCTCCAGCATGGCACTGGGGATTTTTGCATCTTCTGCTGGGCGTTTAGCTTCGCCGGGACTCTTCTTGTCATCCTGGTGGAGCTCTTTGGCCTGCAGACCAGAGCTCCTGTTTCCTGGAAGAACTTCCCCATCACCTTTGCGTGTTATGCTTCCCTGCTCTGCCTGTCGGCCTCCATCATCTTTCCTCTTTATTTCCTGAAGGGGTCCAGAGAAGGGAAAGAGGTCCGTGACTTCCGCATCGTGTCCACCGTTTTCTCCTGCCTAGCCACTATCGCCTACATGAGCGAGGTCAGCCTCACCAAGGCTCGTCCGGGTGAGGTTGCCGGATACATGGCTACCGGTCCTGGCTTGCTGAAAGTCTGCGAGACCTTTGTGGCCTGCATCATCTTTGTCTTCATCAGCGACCCAGTATTGTTTGAAGACCACGATGCTCTCAAGTACTGCATGTCTGTGTATTGCATCTGCTTCATCCTGTCTGCGGTCATCATCCTGCTCTGCATCGGAGAGTTCACCGGCTGCCTCCCCTTCCCATTTGCCCGTTTCCTGTCCGGCTACGCCCTGCTGGCTGTCGTCCTCTATCTGTCAGCAACCATCATCTGGCCTATCTTCAAATTTGACCCAAAACATGGCGGTCGGAAGGACAGGCCAAGCGGCTGTTCCACCTCCCCAGTGGGCTTGTGCAGCTGGGATAGGGCCATGGCAGTGGCCGTGCTAACCGGGGTCAACTTTATCCTCTACCTGGCTGATCTAATCTACTCCAGCCGCCTGGTGTTCGTAACCGCCTGATTGTAGCAAAAAGAAACAGAGCTTGCAGTGTGTTTTAAAGGAAATTGAATTTGGTCCCCAAATTCAGGGCTGTAAAACTGCTGTCAAACAAACTGCTGCAAGAAAGAGTTTGTGTCTTATTGCTATATTAGTTCTAATTAAAAGAAAAAAAAGTGAATTGATCCAAAATATCCTGAAGTGGTTAAACAGAAATGTATGGCTTTAAAATGCCAGCTGATAAAAAAAAGTTCTAAAGGTAGGATTTATATCTTAAGCTCTTTTGATTCCAAGTCTATTTTTTAGCGCTTCCAGACCTGCAAAACTTACCTGAATTTACTGCAGTACTGAGGATTGAAGGTATGGCAATATTTAAAGTCAGTTGTTTCATTTCTAACTGCAGATTTAATCCTTCAAAACAAAACTTTCTGTTCATTTTTTGCTTTTACCAACATAAAAAATGTATATATTTTCAAAATGACAGCAGGTTTTCTGAAATAGTTTAAGATAAAGTAAAACTTGACTGATACACTTTGGTTTGATGAAGGATCGGAAAAAAAAAACGTCTTGTTTGTTCCAAGGATAGTTTTAAACATAATGAAATGTATTAAGTGATTATATACTATGAAAATCTAAAATCCTACTGTTAACATATATAAAAAAAAGTGAAAAAAGAAATGAAGATGGTTAATATGTACCAATTTGGATATTACTTTAAAGTTTTAAAAAAGCAATGGTGGAGAAATATTAACTGAAAAGCTAAAACAGAGCAAGCAAGTACTAAAAAATTAAAATGTAAAAGTTTATCGCCAGCTTTTAAATCTCTGCAACACGATATACAATACACTGCCTCAAATACAGTTTTGTTATACATTTTGACATTTTTCATAGATTTCTGATATTTTTTCAAAGGTATTTTATAACTCATTTTGTTTTGTTTTGTTTTGTTTTTGTATCTTGCTGAAGTTTTTTATTGTTTGTCTAATCCAGCAATGTTGTTGTTAATTTTCATTCTATAGTTTTTTTCATATTTCATGATATCGTTCACCCTTTATCCATTGTATTGCTTAAATGAATAGATTTGTGAAATAACACCAATATGTTCAAATCGTGGTAGTCTGTGTTGACAGCTACAAAAAAAAAGCAAAAATCAGGTTTCTATGTTTTAATAATGTATATCTGTCAGATGATACGTAACTAGTTGTGTAAACTGTTATTATACAAGAGTTATCTATTCAAAATATCTGGAGTCACACCTGAATGTCACTTATGGTCTTTATCAATACATTTTTTAAAGCATGCATTTTTCTGATGGTATGATTTCCATCTTTTTGAATTGTATCATAACCTTAAAAATATGATATATGATGAATAAATATGAAACATGTTAACATACATCCTAGGCTGGCATTCTGTTCCTTATTTGACCGCATTGCGAGCTAGATTCAATAACAGAGAAACAGTCTGTAAAGAGAAAGTACATGTAGTGGGAGCGGAGAACTAGTGGTTAGGGCATAGAGCTTGCAATTCTGAGGTTGTGAATTTGAAACCCACTTCCACTCTGGGTCTCTGAGCAAAAGACCCTTAACCCCACACTGCACCCCTGGCGCGCCGCACAATGGCAGCCCGCTGCTCCCCAAGGGGATGGATTAAATGCAGAGGTCAATTTCTCCAATATGACCTCAATTAAGTTCACTTCAATTAATAAAGACACAGCACCAGTACTTACCTAATGCTCTCCTTACAGATTTATTGAAAACATGGTCTAACAGATAACTAGTGATGCCTGATATTATCAGTATGCTATATTTATTGACCTTTAAAACCAAGTACATGACATTGGCCATTTCATCAATAAAATTCACAAATTTATGAGGCACTGATTTCCTGACAAATAAAAGATTTGCCAGCCCATAGATGGGGGATGTGGAGCCATCAAGTCATCTCAATATGTATTTGTTCTACTCAGCCACTGAACCAGGTGAGTCCAATCTGCAGAGTGAACTAACCTGTGCAGATTGGACTCACCTGGTTCAGTGGCTGGGTGGAATAAATACATGACATAGAGATGACTTGACCACTTGTGACCCCCCACCTCTGCATCAGCCTTTTCACATGCACCAAACGGATTAATGAGTTTGTAACAGAAGAGATGCTGAATTAAAAATGTGGGCGTTGTTGATGTTTTTCAAAGTTTCAGAAACGGATAACCTAACTGCTATTTGCAATGACTGCACAGAGCAGGAGGGAGAAAACTACATTTTGTCTGTGCAAAAATATCTGCATTAGTCGTTGGTCCAGGTAAGTTGAAAAATGTCGACATATCGGATATCGGCGAAAACACAATTGATGATTAGGCCTACTAGCTAACCGATACCATGAATTTTTTTTTTTTTATATATCTGGTTTATTTGATTTGTTGTTTCTGGACATATGTCTTAAAGTACTTTAATAAAGGTTATTAAAAACTGGACTTGTTGGGGATTTTATGTGGTTTCATATTTCAGTAATTTAGGTTTTAAAATAGACTCATTAGGTTTGTTTCATTTAAGCTAATTTTCATTATAGCCACTTGGTATATATATATATATATATATATATATATATATATATATATATATATATATATATATATATATATATATATATAAAAAATCAAAATAATTTCTTTTATCCAGACATTTAATTTCTTTGTGGTTAGACTCGGTGCTGCACCAAATAGTTATTCGTCACATACCAAAAGAAATAGTTTTTCAAGATGATGGATGTTAAATTTCACAATGTTACCATTAGATATACAACTAATAAATTAATTATAAGGAAGTTACCATGCAGATTTGTAGAAAAAAGTTCTTATAAATTATAGGGTAGTGCAGTTACCAGTATAAAGTGTAAAGCATCTGTCCTTAAATTTTTTCCTACAGTACTTTTACTTTTGTACTTTAAATAGCTTTAAAAATAGTACTTTTACACTTTTACTTCAGTAAAAAGCTTAAGTTGAAACTCTAACTTCTACAACAGCGTTTTAAACGGTAGTATTTATACTTTTGCATGAGTTATAGACATTAATCCTTTTGACATCTCTGCACATTGTGTATTTTACTCAAATTTTAACATGCTCTCTGGTTTCCTAGGAAATGTAACTTTTAGCTATAAAAACTGCTTTAATTCGGGTCCCTTTCAATATGTCATAAAAAGAAACCCTTTTCCGCTACAGAAGGATCCACAGGATCTCCACAATATGAGGCCACAATAACTTTCTAGGTTGCCATCTCCCATAATATTTTGCATGAATTTGAAAGTTTTTCTGATATGAAAAAAATTGGAATATCAATGTAAATATATGACTGTCAGTACTATTTTAAGAAGTCAAAGGCTGAATAGGATATATTTTCACTAAATTTTCTGTTATATTTTAAAACACTAAATGTGAAAAAGTTCCAGTCATGAGATAATTATTAAATTATTTTTTCGACTGCATGTCTTCAAATGAAAATGTAAGGTCTGCTTTTCCGCTTTCAATATTCAGTTGGCTCTTGTGTCCAATTTGGATTGGATGCACGGACCCAAATGCTGCTGACAAGGACTTCACAAACATAATCAGGAAGGACTGGTCAGCCTACTCAAATTTAGTTGAATTAAATTTCTCGTCATCTGCTCACATAGTTATTCAAACTATAACTTTGTTTGAATGTAAAGGTCTGTTTGAGGAAAATACTCTTTTTTGTCTCTGTTAGTCACTATACTTGTGCTTGTCTGTGGTTTATTTCTCAGTAATTAGAGAAATACATGTAATTATCAATTCTATCAGCAATCAGCTTCCTTCTTGCCATCGCATTTAGCTGAAGTGCAGTCCTGGAGTTGATTATGAATAAAAGTAAAGATCCCTGAGAAATGCACACAAATCTCCTGTTTGATAATACGATAGAGATTCATTACTTGAAGGAAATTCTCTAGATTGGGCTTTATTGCCTTTTTTTTCCTATTCTTTTGTCAAACCTGTGTTATTATTCTTATCCTTGATCAGCCCTTATCTCTTTCAAATGACATCTGGCTTACCAGAAGCTAAAACTGTTTCCTTGAATTGGCAGCAACAGTTCAGACCGTGGTGCTTTGCAGGATGCACCTCATCTGCATATATAGCCTTTCCACACGCAAAGACTCAGAGGTTGAAATGCTGTCCCCTCTAACATTGTTGTTTTGAAACTTCGAAAATAACAATCATGATGCATTACCATATGCACACAAGATTGAAAAAACTTAAACATTGGGCTTATATGACAGTGGACTTTAGCACAGAGGTGAACATTAGCATATAGGCAAACAGCTAACGTAAGCTCTTTGAATGTGGTGCATTCTATGCACCACATTCAATTATTTAGGCATGCCTTCCTGGTGTGCAGAACTGCATGAAAGCCTCCAACTTAACTTTTACTAACACACAAACTTTTATCCAGTGATGGATGCACAAAAAAGAAATTCTTAGTTTGGTCTACAAGATGGAAAAAATATATTCACTCAGTGTGCACATGGAGTTCCAGTGATTTACCAGCAAAAAATAAGCATGACTGGAATTTGTGTTTATAGGAATGTCCTTATCACTAATCGAGCTAAAAGCATGAGGAATGTGCACCAAACACATGAGAACACAAGCCAGCAATCCCCAAAGAGAAAACTTAGTGAATCTCTGAGTACCAAAGCTGTTTACCTCGGGTTTTGAAGAGGATATTTATAGTCTATTATTATCACCTGATCAGCTTTTCAGGGACGTTGCATCCAGGAAGGTTCTGACTTAGCTAAGCGGGATATTTATTCGAGTGAAAGGGCTGTTAAGTGTCAACTGGTTGGCAGGGACAAACTATGAGGTGGTGAATGCAGGGTACTGATCAGTGTACAAATAGCTCTTCCCAGTGTGGGAAGCACAAGGAAATGCTTCCCACACTGTTGTCTTACTTCATTGTAGGAGATTACCTTACCATATGGTGACCAGATCTAGCTGGACCGGACCGGCACCAGCCCAGGATTGGTTCTGCTGCACTGTAGTTGTCCAAAATCCTGGTACAAATCAGCCAAAAATGGACCCAGCAGACCTGGACTCAGTTTTGGGCACCATAGAGAGACAGCTGAACATTCAGGAGGAGAAACTGGCATTACTGCAAAGGCAGAATAAACAACTGGTTACGCAACAGGGCAAGTTCATGACAATTTCTTTCTAAAAAAACTCAACTTCCCAGTGGAACAAATCCAAAGATTTCAG